GTCCAGTTTCCAACAAAACTTGAACATCTTGCCAGTCAGATGAAAACTGTTGGATGCCGGACAGCTCTTTCTGCTGATTACTGACCAGTCCTTTATAGCCGATAAATGAAAGTCAGGCATTAGCATAATTCTTTTTGATACTACAACTGAAAAATAAATGTCAGTATTGGAAATAAACTAACACTTGCAATATAAAAACACTGGCATTTGCAATAATGTGTGCTACACTGTGCAGTTGAGAGTGCCAAAGTATTGACCGTGTTATAAAGACTATTATGCATAATTCAAGTAATGAAAGCAAAAAAGATTCCTCTGAGTTTGTGTTTTTGAACATAATAATCACACAAACAAATAAAGAAAAGCAGTTTCTCTGAATATCGTCAAATGTGATCTTGATTTCAGACAACAGTTCAACAAAACAAAAAGTTCATTTTAGATCCCATTTTGTGTTTTTTTTTAACTTAATGATTTGTTCAGAAACTGATTTAATTGGGATGGAAACATACAATGGAGAAAAAAACATTTGTGGATCTCAGACGCAACATGGTGTTTCCATCCTGAATGAATCTGTTTCTAAATTAATTGTTTAAGTTAATGATTCAATGATCCATTCATAAAACACACAGTTGCTTAATTTCTTAATAAATCAGTTGATTTGGCTGAATAGTAGGAACAAATGATTCAGTGAATCACTTTAAAATGATTTCTAAATGACTCAATTATTTCTCCATTCATCCATCCATCTGTCTTATGTTATATTATTAAAATCTGAATGTTTAGATAAAATGTTATTAATATTTATAGTAAACAAGTTGCTGCAATTGATTAAATTTACATTAAATTATTTTTAATTATATTTTAATTAAACAATTTTAATTGTTGAAATTATTATTTTTAAATTATAAAAAAATATTATTATTATTATTTTAATTTTTCAAATTTAGTATTATTTATTATAAAAATTATATGTTTGTGAAACTCTTGAAATCATTCCACATAAATATTAAGTAAGTAAATAAATAAATAAATAAATAAATAAATAAATTAATTAATTAATTAATTAAAAGTCCAGAGATTCTCTGTTCCTAGCAATATTGCAGACCCATATCAGTATTCTGGGAGAGCCTTATCAATAAAGGACACATGCCATGTTGTTTTTGAGTTTAAATGGCTTAAGAGTGAACAAACTATGTGCTAATTTAGATTTTTGGGTGAACTCCTCCTTTAAGACCCCTGACACCTGAACAGACAGCCCACTTGCGTCTGCATATTAAAGCGGAGCCCCAAATGGTCCCACATGAGCAGTAAAAAGCAGCGAGTTTGCTCCTCGCGCCTGCAGAGCAGTCAAGATCCTGGCAGCTCTGTCAGGACTAAATTACTGCTGTGGTGAGAGGAGGACAGTAAATGCAAAGCGTGGATGCAAATTCCTCTCCGTTCGCATTCCCTTGTTAAACACAGTGGGTGTAAAGCACAGGAGCTCCAGTCATTAACTGTTCCCTCTTCACTTCCATGGAAAGCTCTGGCCGCTTTATCCATCTCCCGTTTCACCTTCAGTCTGTTTAATGAAGCTCTCCTGAAGATGCTTTCTGCTTTAAACTGATCCACTCAAATGTCTATTGCGTTTATAATATTGCATTTATTTTAGTGCTGTCAATCGATAAAAAAACGAACTAATTAATCACACTTTTTTTTTAATTAATCCCGATTAACCGCATTTAAAAGACTGAAACTTGTAATTTTGACTATTTGAATGTAAAATTAATGTAAACGCAAGACAAAAACTATTTAAATTCAAAATATAATTGTTTATCAGAATTTTTGCTTAACTTGTAACACAGATTTCCTTATGTAAACAACATACCCACAATAAACCATCAAGATCCTGCTTGACAGCCATATTTATTACAGAAATAAAAACACAGGCATGTTAATGCCATTTGAATTTCAAAACAATCAATGCCAATAAAGAAAACATTGATTTCCATGTTGGATTCTAAGTGGACTGCAAAAAAATACAGTCAAAATACAGGCATTACAGATATGGAAAATTATAATAATAATAGTAAAAGTACTGAATACAAACAATGGTACTCATTGTAAAGTTAATTTGCTGTGAGTTGAGAACGTTAATTATAAAGTAGAAACAATTTTGCTCAGTCCTCCTTTACATTCAGACAGTTGCTAAGACAGTCCAGTCTGTTGACATTATCTAGGGACAATGTGGACCTTTTCTTTAGAATGATGTGAGCTGAAAGTGCAACGCAATCAATGCAATTTGTAACTTTTTGTGGCTACGGACAACGACGTTTAGAAGCCAGAGCGACTCCCTTCAGATTCAACATGCATGATCGCGTTCATCAAATTTGCTTAAACTAAGCGTTCTAAACTATGACTGTATTTCACAAGGATCCTGACACAACATTGCGAAGCAGACACATTTTTGTTGTGTTTAAGAAGGAAACACGTCAAACTTAATGATTGGAGGGCTCATGCAGAACGCCATTGAAATGCGCTGTCTTTGACAGCTCGCGACTTCATCTGACACATTCTGAGTACCTTTACATGGACACCAATACTCCGCTTTTAATATGATTAATATAATACTCTTATTAAGATTTGACCATGTAAGCAGCGATTTTTGTCTACCTTAAAGGACCACGAAAGTCACGAAATGTGGAGGTTTTTCTCTCCATTTGCCATGCGGTATCAAATTCCATTGAAACAGAAGTCGAAAGTTAAATTGCATGAAACTCTGGAGAGCCTGGTGATGCCACATTAATTGTTTTATACAGAAACTTGCCTTCACAAAGTGCTTCCTAGTTCTTATCCATATTTCTTTGCATGTTAAACACACATCCACCACAACAGGAAGTAAAAAAAACCTGCAACTGCGTTAATTGTATCAATATTAATCTCTTCTTTTCTTTTTCATTATCTTATAACCTATTTTAACACATCTTTATCTGTTTTATCTATTTTTTATTTTTATTTTTATAATTCTTATTATTTGTTTTTATTTTCGTACACTTGTCTCTTTTATTTCTGTTTATGTAAAGCACTTTGAATTGCCACTGTGTATGAAATGTGCTATATGAATAAACTTGCCTTGCCTAATTTTTTTTAACGCGTTAAATATTTAAAATTAATCGCATGCGTTAACGCACTAATTTTGACAGCACTAATTTATTTATTGACTGTAAATGCAGAGAGACAGGGCGTGAAACTAAGGCTGCATTTACACTGCACATCTTGATGGTCAATTTGGATTTTGTGACTGTTGCTGATTTTTTTGCTGACCTGCTTACATCATTTTTCAAAAGTGACTCATATCCGATTGCTAGGCCCACACGAAATTTTAACCCATCATTAATTATGTTTACTGAAGGCTGATTTATACTTCTGCATCAAACACCGCCGTATGCTACGGCGCTGACGCATAGCCCTTTGCCGTGGCCGTCACTGACGTGCACCTCTCAAAAAATGTAACTACACGTCGCAACAACGCGTAGCGCAAGCTCTGTGATTGGTCGGCTTGGTAGCGCTGACGAGTCGGGGCGGGACCGAGAGCCGTGCGAATGGCGCGAACCCAATGTAGCGATTGTTTACAAATGTGGAGTCCCATGAAGGAGCTCCAGATGGAAAGCTTTGTTTTGTGTTTACCTCATAGATAAAGCTGTTGCACGTCCGCCGGTTCCTGCCTCAAAATGAGCGAGTTTGAGTCACTTGTACATCCAGGAAGTGTTCAGGAAAAGCAAAACAGCAGAGAAGAAACTCGACACAGAGGAACATTTACACCACACTGCCAACTAGCGTTTCGGAAGTGTTAATGCAGACCAACAGAGACAGCAGCAGAAGTATAAATGCACAGCTACGCGCGTTGCCTGCGCCGTGAGTTACGCCGGTCACTTGACGCAGAAGTATAAACCAGGCTTTACTTGTGTAAATGTGTGTAAATCTATATCTATTCAGTTTTTAAAAAGTTCTTTACAGTAATATTATTGACTAATATGAAAATGTTCATCTGACTTATGTACAATGCAGTTTGCACAGTAATATTTGCTGTCTGTTAGTACATATATTATGAGAGACTTGCTTTGTTTACCAAATAAAATGCATCTAATTGGATTTTCATTTTGAACATTAAACAAAAAGTTAAGAAGATATTATATTTTTTTTCACATATTAAGGTTTTAGTTATGATACTCCCAAAATAATTCAGCAGAAATCCGCAGATTTTTAACAAAATTCTCAGCAGAAATAGCAAAAAAAGTCCGCAGCTTCCGTCTGGCCCTACCGATTGCCTGCATTTACACTGCACACAATGACAAGACGCAATGAGCAAGAAAATATAAAAAAAGAGCGGGCGCTGACTGACAGCGGATAATAAAAGAGCCATTCTCCATTCCTGTATTTATTCTGTTCTGTTTTTTTTATTATTTCTGACAAGTTATTTTACTGTAGTTTATGACAGAAAAGTTCTCATTTGGTCATCTTCTTTTAAACTAGGCCAGGGGTCACCAACCCTGTTCCTGGAGAGCTGCCTTCCTGCACATTTCAGTTGCAACCCTGACCAAACTCATCTTAATGTCATGTCCATGGCATGATCTATGCTTGTGACGTATGCCACAGTTTTATAAATTGGTTACGTGTCGGATGTAGCTTTCAAAGATATTATGCTAACAGACAGCATTTTGGCAGATCACTGCCCCTTTAATTTGTGCAAAATATTGAGGATTCACCAATAGTAGATTCATTATCTGTCGACTCAATATTTCACAGAATTTCTCAGTCACTTTTTCAAAACAATACACTTTTGATGAACGGAAATGACGCTTTATTCCCAAATATATCCAGATTGTTGCACATAACTCGATTGTGCATCTTTGAATGGAAATAAACCGACTGTCCCCATTGCATGTGAGAAGTGTGTATAGATTAATGTTGGACACGGTTTATGTGTGAAAATACAAAGAGAGCGAGAGAGTATGGTGTGTGTTTACCATGGTAAGCGTCATGCGGTCGATCTCGTGTTTGTCTTTGGTCTTGTGCTGCCTGAATGGACTGTGCCTGTGAGAACAGAAGAAAGAAGAGTCAGTTCAGGAGCAGGTAGGCGGGGAGGGGGTTTCCAGAAACCTTTCAATCTCAGTCAGCGAGCGTGAGACACACGTGCATGCACTATAGAAATAAACTCTAACTGAATTGAATGCATGCATTAGATTGTTTATAATCAGTGTTGGTGGTGTTAATTTCTACTATTAAAGGCTATAACATCAGCGCTAATGTGAAGTCTTCTGCAGGTACTTTCATCATGATACAATACACCCATTACTGTAGTGAGAATCGAGTGCTGTCCACTGAGTAAACACTGCACAGAGTTTGTGATGATGATGATGATGATGATGTTTCTTCATGCAAAATAGATTCGAGGATCGAAATGAAACAGGGTATAAGCACAGCTAGTGTTTTTAGCCAATGATAAACTTCCAGTGAAAGCTTAATTTGACTATTTTCAATTTCATATGATTGATTTTACAGCAATGATGTTGTAATTAAATACATTCAGTTAAAGAGACTTCAGCATTCATTTAGCTGTTAACCATGAGATGAAAGGCTGTGTGGCTGCTAGCGCAGTCAGCATCAGAATCTCCATTGTAAGCACTGGAGTACAATACACTGTCCATACCTGTCAACCCTCCCGTTTTTCCCGGGATTCTCCTGTATTTTACAGTTCTATCCTGCTATCATACCGTAAAGGTATTTTTCCATATTTCTCCCGTATTTTCAGTCTTTTTCTGAAGAGTGGCAAGAAACATTAAAGAGCCGAGCCTCCCTTTATGCAACCCATACCGCCGAACCACTAGGGGCCGCCCCTTGCTCTTAAATGAGAGTCTGTTTTGTGCTTTCACTTTGTTTAGGCACAAAAACACTTTGAACTAAATATAAAAACGGCGCAATTCACTTTCCTTTTCATTACAGGTGCCGTCGCTCCTTCATATGCAATCCTTTAAACAGTCATATAGCAGTGCGTGACTGTCAGCTGACGCACTCCATAGTGATAAACAGATGCTGTTTCCCAAACGGATTCTGTACACGCGATTTGAAGCGGAGTAAAAGTCTGGCTTTTGGGTGCGTGTTTAAACAGACATAAACACATAATTAATAATAATAATAATAATATCTAAAGATGTCGATTTTGGTGTTTTTTTTTTCAAACACAACTAATTCAGTCTTAAATGAGCATAAAAAGTTAGGAAAGCAGTCGAAAACCTTCATTATATTGTTAGATGTGTGCATTTTTAAAGTGACACCTCTTATTTAATGTAATCAAACAAAAAAAAAATCTAAATAAATAAGAGATTCATTCATTGCTCTTTAATGAGAATGTGTAAGTTATACAGTGGAGAAACGGCTAATGAGATTTGATAGCTTAATTCTATTTTATTAGCTATTAATTTTAATAAGCTGAACTGTTTGCTAATGTATTTGCTGCTAATGTATATATTTATTTTTTCTTTTGTAAATAATAATAATAAAACATATTTCTGGCCATTTATCTGTTTATTTACAACAAAACAGCTCTAAATGAACATATTAGTAATTTGGGGATTTTTTAAAGAAGGAAAGGGGGGGGGGGCCCTTATTATGGTGGGCATATCCCTTATTCTCACATCCCAATCTTGACAGGTATGACTCTGTCATCAGTGAAGATTGCTGATTTTAAAAAAATAAAATAAAAATCAGACCTTAAACGTGGCATTTTAATAATGGAAAGACAGTTGACTGGAAGCGCTGATGCTGGCGGGCTGGCTGAGAGTAAAAGTCAGAGTGCATATGTGTGTGCATGTAGAACAACTGTTTTAAACAAACCACTTTTAAAATGTTGAGTAAAAAATGGTCTCAGCTCATGGTTCAGTACCGATTTAGCAAAGATCATTCGCCAAAAACACCTTCTATGACGTAGAGCAAAGACTTCTAAAAATATGTCTGACTGACTGAGCTTTTAGAGCTATAAGAAATAAATGAACTCAATATATTGAAGCTTCAAAAACTCTCCATCACACACTGGAAGTTATTTACCGTGCAGCAATTGGTTTTGATACTGGTTTGCATTTAATACTCATCACGGTCAACTGTATTCTTTAGTGAATTGGCCTTCTCTTCAAATCACGTCGACAAACTCAATGGTTTCTGTTCATTTACAAAACTCTTATTGGGGAAAACTCCACTATATCTACAGTCACTTCTTAACATTCAAAAACACGTCGAAATCTGCGCTCTAGTAGTTTTAGTTGAAGTTAGCTCTTCATTTCGTAGCTACTCTACTCAGTTTTTATGTTCTCTCTTGGCCAGGTCATCATTGTAAATGAGAACTGTTTCTCAATTGACTTCCCTGATTAAATAAAGGTTATTATATTCCCCATTGATTATTTTATTTTAGATGTTTAGTGAAGGTGGCTCAATTTTGACCTGCAGGATGAGCGGTGTGTACAGAATTAAAGACAACAGAAGGGTTAAACGCAGAGAGAGAGAGAGAGAGAGAGAGAGAGAGAGAGAGAGAGAGAGAGAGAGAGAGAGAGAGAGAGAGAGAGAGAGAGAGAGAGAGAGAGAGAGAGAGAGAGAGAGAGAGAGAGAGAGAGAGAGAGAGAGAGAGAGAGAGAGCAAGCTTTTCAGACTGGTTCTGACACACTTCTATCCCGCTTTGAAGTCTAAATGACACACACACACACACACACACACACACACACCTCAATGGAACGACAGACTCCACCCCCTTTAAACATAGTTGAAGTCAGAATTATTCACCCTCCTGATTTGTTATGTATATTTCCATGATGACAGCAAATAATTAAGACTAGATATTCTTCAAGACAACTCTCTACAGCTTAAAGTGACATTTAAAGGCTTGACTAGGGTAATTAGGGTAAAGTTAGGGTAATTAGGCAAGTCATTGTATAACAGTGGTTTGTTCTGGAAACAATCCAACACTAATATTGCTGTAGGGGCGAATAATATTGAACTTAAATGGCTTTAAAACAATTAAAAACTGCTTGTAATCTAGCTGAAACAAAACAAGACTTTCTCCAGCAGAAAAAAATATTTGAGGAAATACTGTGAAAAATTTCTGAATCTGTTAAACATCATCTGGGAATGTTTTGGGTGAATTTACAAAATTAACAGATTGTATAGATGATATTAAAATGAAATGACTAATAACTTATTACTAAATTCTAGATAATACTGAGGTTTTGCTTATTGGAACCAAAAACCTCATAGGCAAAAACCTAGAGCACTGTCTGACCCTTGATGGATTCTTACGCCCGTTTCATACCGCAAGCGAAAGCAGTGCGTGAGCAGCAACAGCCTCCTCCTATGCTGTTTCTTTAACCTGCAAGTCTTTATTTAAGAAAGTCTATAGATCATACAGTACTGTCTGCTTCTCAAGCTCTATGAGGAGCGTCATTCATGTCCGGTGCACTCAGAAGACAATCGCCTGTTACATCATGTCATTTGGCTTTTGATTGTCAGGATGTTTTAGGTCTAGTTATAATAATACTTATTAGGGATGTAACGGTATTGTAAATACCGTCATACCGCAATATTAAATTTTTTCGATATTACCGAAGTCGCATGACTCGGTAAAACTATAGGTCTTCTGAGAAAATTTGCTCAGGCGAATGAAGCGAACGGGAGGTAGCTGAAACTTCATTTCCCATCAGCCCCGGCGTGGCCATAATCCTTTGCGGTCTGTTGTCGCTACAGATCCAGTAATGCGGAAATGGAGTGTGCTGCTAGTAGCGGAGATGAAAAAAAGATGGAAATGATCGAACCTAAAGCGAGTGTTGTCGCCGCGCGCTGAATAGCGGTGCTGTCGCGCGCGTTCTGATCAGCTGTGTTGTGGCGCGCGTTCTGATCAGCTGTGTTGTGGCGCGCGTTCTGATCAGCTGTGTTGTGGCGCGCGTATTGTAAAGCGCCGAGGGGGGGTTGAGCGCGCATATTCAAGAGAGGTGTTATCGCGCGCCTACTGAAGGGCTGGACTGGACGGAGGTTGTGTCGCGTCGCGGGGGCACTTTTGATCGTTTTGGAAGGGCATTTTCTATCCAAGACTAAAAAGGGCATGTGCACTGCACAGGATGAGCCCTATGTGTGCACGTGCCTGCAAGTTGGGGAACACGACTAATAACAGTCATGGGGACTGCAGAAACACAGCACACTGTTCAGATTGATGCAGACATTGACTTGTACCGCAAAGAGACCTCTATCTCACTCATGGTTTGTCCTCTCAAGTGGGGGAAAGACAATGAACAACGTTACCCCACTGCTGTCAACATGGGCCAAGTCATATCTCTCTTGTCCCAGAATCCTCAGTCCCAAATGAGAGGGTTTTTTTCTGTTGCAGGGGACATTGTAAATACCCAGAGATACCAGCTTTTACCAGATTATAGTTATATGATCATTTTCCTTTAAACCCATCTCTATCTAAGTGAGTGATTAAATGTTGAAGGTGATGAGTTTTTAACAATACTAAATTGAAACTTTATTTTTTTACATGGTTTAATAATTTTTTGTTATTAAAATTGAAGTTCCTGTTTCAAAGCTAACAGATAGATGGCTAATTTGTATGTCATTGACACTTTTGGCACTTTTTTGGGAGTATTTTCAAAAGTTTTGTTTTTCCTGTAAATGATTCAATAAATACCGTACCGTGACATTCATACCGAGGTATTACCGTACCGTGAAATTCTGATACCGTTACATCCCTAATACTTATACAATATAGTTATAATGATATATATACATGATCAAACTAGTGTTACTTTCGCCGCTTCAGTGATGTCCAGCAGCAGAGTAACAGCTCGTGTAAAGAATGAGACGGACTAAACTAATTAAAGCATGCCCTTCTTTTAGTGTTGTCAGGTTTACAGTGCAACTTGAGTGAACATAAATCAAAGCCGATTTAAACTTTCTTCCTCTGCTTGAGCTGCACAGCACACAGCGAGCTCACATCATCCAGCATGCGTGTCGAACTACACTACCCACAACACACTTCGCTATGGACTACAACTCCCGTAAATATTCTATTTCCCCTCTCCTGCAACACCAGCGTGCAACTTCAGCAAAACTGATACTAAAATTGTTTTACATTTGGTTTTGTAGTTCGGGGCTAAATAAATGTTGCAGTTTTTAATTGTTTAAGTTCATTTGATTGACTATATACACGTCAGTTGATATCATTAACCCATTTATTGGGTAAAATTGCTACATTTTTCTGTCATTTAATGTGTTTGGGTCCTTATCGATGCACTGTCACTTTAATTGAGCGTGAGCAGCGCGGCAAAAATAGACCCAGTGCCGAAACGATCGCGGCACTGCTGCTTCAGTGACGCTTATGCCTAGTTCAGACTGCGTGATTTTAGCCCCGATTTTGGCTCGCCGACAGGTTTTGAGCAATCGCCGACAAATGCCTGAAATCACAGGCAAATCGCTGCTCGTGCACGTGAGAGACAATCACACAGTATGAACCATCAAAGACACGATCTGAGAGAATCGCCGATGAGTCGCCGATGCATGTGAGATATTTGGCGTGCTAAATATCTGGAGCTGTCTGCGATTCAAATCATGCCGTGTGAAATGAGTTTTGACTGAAAATAACATCAGCGATCGCCTACAGCCAATGAGAGAGCAGCATTCACTGGTGTGTGTGTGTGTGTGTGCCTGCTGCAGGCCAGCGGGAGGCTGGGGGAGAAGGTAAAAGTGCTCTTTTTCAGTTTATTTGGACCCACGAAATGGAGGGAAAACTAGTGGAGGTTTGACAGGACTCAGGAGCAGCCGTGTCTGTTTGACGTTTCATACAGAAAGAAATTAGTTTATTATCAACGTTGAGGAGAAATGGCTAATTCCCTTTAAACCCAGGTGAGCAAACATGTACATGTTCTACCCCATTAAAGGCTTCTTTCTCATTATGTAGTTAATAACAAAAGATATACTACATGTTTTTGGCTGTGAGACGTAGTTTGGACGAAGTTGTCAGCGATTCTCCCTATAGTAAAGTCATGCAATGTGAATGTCTATGTCGCCGAACCATCTTGCAGTGTAAACAAAGCAGCGATGAAACGCAAGCCCAGATAAGTCATGCAGTGTGAAAACATCTGTGACGCGACTAGTTTGAAAATCAGGCATTACATCTCGCTCTGACGTGCTGCTGCGTGCGGTGTGAAGCCGGATTTAGTTCAGTCCTCATCTTCAGTCAGTAATTTGGGGTGATTTTTGATAGCAGCCTGTCATTTGAAGGCCAGATTTCAAGCATCTGTAAAACTGCATTGTTTCATCTTAAAACTTCAACATATGCTATCAATGTCTGATGTGGACAAGCTTATTCATGCTGATTAGATTATTGTAATGTGTTACAAGGCGGTCGCTCTGTTGGCTTAATTAACAAACTTCATCTGGTGCAAAATGCAGCTGCTACAGAGCTTTCTAGAGCAGAAACATGATCATATTACTCCAGCTCTTTCATCATTGCATCGGCTCCCTGTTAAATATCCTATAATTTAAAAACATTATTGACTACCTAAAAAACCCTGAACGGCTGAGCTCCCCAGTATTTGAGGGAGCCCTGGTGTATTACAGCCGCTCACGTCCACCACGCTCAACTGATTCCGGACAATTTATTATTCCCCGAATATCAGCATCAACTGTAGGCGGTAGATCTGTCTCATATCTGGCACCTAAACTCTGGAACAGCCTTCTTAGCACAGATCGAGAAGCAGACACACTCTGCCAGTGTAAAACTAGATTAACGAAACATCTCTTCGCAGCAGCATACACATAAAACACACATGCTTTTGAAATACCAATCCTCAAAAGGATTGTTAGTCTGCATTATTCAGGGCAACCGGAGCTGGGAACACTTCCCTAAAGACATTATAATTTGAACAGCATCTGCGCTTATGTTGGTCTGTTTTATTATTCCTGAGGTTTCCATAATCCTGGACCAGGCCGTATCCTGAGCAGCTGCTGTGGCAGTCATAGAAGAATGGAGAGCATGAGACGGATCCATGTAAGACCCCAGTGACAGACGAGTCTCCGCATTGATCCTGAAGGGCCAGCCTGAACACAAGCCACGATGGACCTCCGGCCTTCTTCAGCCTCCAGCGCCTACACTGCAGCTCTGCACAAGACGTTTAGCCAGGGGAGAAATGGTCGTGCCAACCTGAGCCTGGTTTCTCTTCAGGTTTTTTATTCTTTCACTTTGGTCAATTGGTGAAGTTTGTTCCTCCACTGTCGACACTGGCTCGCTTGGTTTGGGACTTGTGGAGCTGCACATGGATGGATTTGCTCTTCAGTGTTTGTTCTTTCAGCAGTGAGCAGTTAAACCACACTGAACTGAACTGAACTTCAACTGGACTGACACAGTTTCCATTTACTAGAACTTCTGTGTTCAGCTGCTTTGACGCAATCTACACTGTGCTAGAAAAAATAAACATGAATTGAACTAAAAACAATTGAAAATTCACAGGAGACTGAATTATTCTGGCTTCAACTGTAGTTTTCCCCCACTCTCCACCTAGCAACGGTTGCCGTGGTCTTTCTTCTCTATGATGTTGGCCGGTGGCCTCCTGCTTCCAAACCCCTGACATTTAAGCAGTACACTCAAACACATCAAACACCGAGCGCGACTGAAAGCGAGCGATGAAGAATTGATGAGCGTCTGCGTGTCTCTCTTACCCTCGCAGGAGTTTGAACAGCATGCAGCCCAGAGAGAACCAGTCGGCGCTGCTGTCGTACGCCGTTCCCTTCTGCAGAACCTCAGGTGCCATGTAGCCATGAGTCCCTCTGCAAACACAGCAATTAAAGCAGATTACAGTCAAAGCGTACACACGTATACACACACACACACATGCCGCAGGCCCAGCGCTAAACACAACAGCTCAAACACAGCATCACTGTGATAAAAATAAATAAATGCTGAATTAGTTGCCTTTTAAATGACAATGTACAATCAGGTCATCTCTAAACAATAAAAATAGTAATAAAAATAAAAATAAATAAATAAATAAATGTATATATGAATGAATAAAAACATGAATAAATAATTGAATAAAAATGAATAAAAATGACTAAATGAAAAAAATTACAAAATTAATAAGTAAAATAAATTAAAAATTAATAAATTAATGAATAAAAAAATTATAATAAAAATAAATGAATAAATTAAAAATAATAATAAATGAATAAATAAATGATTAAATAAAAAAATAACAAATAAATAAATAAAATAATAAAAAATGAATAAAGAAAAAAAAATGAATAAAGAAAAAAAAATGAAAAAAATGAATAAATATTTAAATGCTGACTTAGGTGTCTTTTGAAAGACAATGTACAATCAGGTCATCTTTAAACAATAAAAATAATAATAAAAAATAATAAATAAATAAATAAATGTATGATTGAATAAAAACATAAATAAATAATTGAATAAAAATGAATAAAAATGACTAAATGAAAAAATTACAAAATTAATAAGTAAAATAAATTAAAAATGAATAAATTAATTAATAAAAAATGATAATAAAAATAAATGAATAAATTAAAAATGATAATAAATGAATAAATAAATGATTAAATAAAAAAATAACAAATAAATAAATAAAAGATTACAAAATGAATAAAGAAAAAAAATGAATAAAGCAAAAAATGAAAAAAAATGAATAAATAATTAAATACTGACTTAGGTGTCTTTTGAAAGACAATGTACAATCAGGTCATCTCTTAACAATAAACACATAAATATATCTCTAACAAATAAATAAAATAAATAACTTAATATTTAAAACAAAATAAATTAATGAATGAATAAAAAGTCTACTTCAGACGAATCCTGAAAATCAGTTGAAGCTATTAAGACTGATAGACAGTATGTGTATGACTGTTCATATGCAGCCTGTTGAACTCTCTATAATAAAAAAATAACTCCCTGTGTTTCTGCACGAATATGAGCCGCTGAAGAACAGAAGCTCCACACCTTCCCCAAACAGCAGACGAATAAAAGAGGAGGACTTGAGGAGGAACTTACACGCTGGCGTGAGGCTTCTTCTTGGAGAAATCACAGGCCAGACCCAGGTCAGAGATGCGGACGTGTCCGTGCTCATCTAAGAGGATATTCGCAGGCTGTGAAGAGACAGAAAGAGCTAGAGATCAGGACACACGCTCCAAACCCTGCTTTTTAAGAGCTTAATAAAGAACAGAGCACGATATCTACAACCACAGCATCACTGTGATTAAATGGAGAACACTACATTAACAACAACTAGGGGTGTAACAATTTATCGTTGTACGATTTATTGCGATGCAAAAATGTCACAATATGCATCGTGGCGTTATGACGATTTGATTACGATATGACGTCCGTTTTCTCTTATTAGTTGAGCTGTTTGCACGTGAGCTACGTTCCACCTGCTGTCGCACGTGAGTTCAGATTGCAGCAGCAGTAATGTTAGCAGACCAAGATGAGTGGAGCTGAAATAGAGGATGGCCCATCCTCTCAAAATCAGACGTCTGGCAACATTTCGGTTGTACAGTCATTGCTTTAGACTCGTCCGCTTTTTGACACGCATACTGGGTCACACATCCTAAGTTTTAAAGTCTTCACAGTGATTTACATACTTTGCACAGCGACAGGGATACCTCCTAATGGTGTTGAAAGAGTCACATACTGTATTTATAAGGTACAATTCACCCTAAAATATCATTCTGTCTTCATATAATGATGTATTGGCCGCCGCAAAATCATACATGACGTGAGCTGACCGTGAGCTGTTACTACAGAGGGCGGACTATGATAGACGTGCGCGTATGGCAAGCCGTTTTAGCATTTAAACCTTTGTTCTGACTATCCATATTTAGAGATATCTCTAGTTATATTTTGACTAGTCATAATTATAATTCGACTAGTCAGAATGACAATTAGAGATATCTGCAATTACAATTGTACTAGTACGAAATCAGATTGGAGATATCTGCAAATATATTATGACTAGTCATATTCCTCCATTGACTTCCATTGAAAAATATTTGCAGATATCTCTAAATGAGTTTTGACTAGTCACAATTGTAATTAGAGATATCTCTAAATGAATTTAATTAAATTGAATAGAAAGCTTTTTTTTTTTTGCACCTTTACTTAAATTGTTCCTTATTTTTGTCTCTGTCATTTCAATAATATTTTTAAGAAGTTTTTAAATTGTTTTATTTTCCAGGGACAGGCCTGTTTAATTTATTTTCTTAAAGAAGGTTCAGTTTAACAAGTTGAAATAAAAAGAAATACATAAAAAATAGTTTACTTGGTAAAATTTGCATTTCAGTTCAATTTTAAATTTTTATTCCAAATATCGTGATACATATCGAATCGTGAACATTATATCGTGATACACATCGTATCGTGAGCTGAGTGTATCGTTACACCCCTAACAACAACACAACAGAACTTGTGCATAAACACTAACAATCACAGTCAAAAACAAATATGCATGCTGCACACTATTGAATGCTATGTTTTCACAAGAAGTTCTATAAATAAAGTAAGATATGTATGTATGTATATACAGTTCAAGTCAGAATTATTCACCCCCTTTTGATTTTTTTTTTTTCTTTTCCAAATTGTTTGACAGATTCAGGAAAATTTCACAGTATGTCTGATAATATTTGTTCTTCTGGAGAAAGTCTTATTTGTTTTATTTCGGCTAGAATAAAAGCAGTTTTAATTTTTTTAAACACCTTTTTAGGGACAAAATTATAAGCCCCTTTAAGCTACATTTTTCTAATAGCCTAGAGAACAAACCATCGTTATACAATAACTTGCCTAATTACCCTAACCTGCCTAGTAAACCTAATTACGCTAGTGAAGCCTTTAAATGTCAGTTTAAGCTGTGTAGAAGTGTCTTGAAGAATATCTAGTCTAATATTATTAATATACTACTAATTACTAATATAACTGTCATCATGACAGAGAAAATAAAACAGTTATTAGGAATGGGTATATACAGGGTATATACAGAATTTCTTGACTTATTAATATTTGTGCAAAACAAAGGTATAATAATTATAGAATATTAATGATGATGATGATGATGACAATAATACTAACAACGAATTATATTTCTCAATATCATGCTGCCTTGATTGTGCGTTATCTGCTATATAAAGTCCCGTTGTTAGATTATGAAAAATAAATTGATGGTTTGCATCAAACAAAAATGAAGCATTGCAGTAAGAAATGTTTATTTCAAGTTAAGGTCAATTTAATAAATAATATTTCTGCTACAAAACAAACCAAAGATTATAATAAATCATTCAATTCAATGCTGAAAGCTACAAAGCAGTCATCAGTGATTAAATATACATCTCAAGAAAGAACAGACAAAAGAAAGAAAAGTCTCACTTCTGTCACTCTTTATAAGTTTTAGTTTCGATTTGTGTCATTGTAAATGCTCAGTCTCGTTATGCGCTCATTTACAGTTTTCTGTGTTTGTGGGAATAAAAGCAGGCGTGTCAGCTGACCAGGGCACAGCACAATTCTGGTGATGACCACTGACGCAAAAACGCTGTTTGTTATGAGCTGCAGATTCAGTTTAAACTCAGTAAAGGCGAGCTTCTTTGGCGGTGATGTGTGCAGTGTTAGATCTTACATTTATAGCGGACATTTGCGCTGAACATGCAGTGAATAACGCATCGAGATTCGGGAACCTTCTCGGCTGGCGGATCAACATTCAACACGTAATCGCTGTCATCGGTTCTCACTCTTCCCTCGTTTGCATTTCCCGCATTCCCCACACAAGCTCCCTGTCATCTGACAGCGGAAAGCCTTCAGGGATTGACATGCTCATTGATATAAGCTAATATAGCGCCAATATAACCGTCTTCTTGCAGACGTGGCTATAATCCTCACGGCTGTTGCCAACTACAGGCCTAGGCCAGTCTTTAAATCTTGCTTCCTCCAGCCTGAGGTCCGAAAACTTGCATTTCCCCATTCGTTCATTTTCCTGTCAGCTTAGTCCCTTTATTAATCCGGGGTTGCCACAGCGGAATGAACCGCCAACTTATCCAGCAAGTTTTTGTACGCAGCGGATGCCCTTCCAGCCGCAACCCATCTCTGGGAAACATCCACACACATACTACTGACAATTTAGCCTACCCAATTTACCTGTACCGCATGTCTTTGGACTGTGGGGAAAACCGGAGCACCCGGAGGAAACCCACGCGAAGGCAGGGAGAACATGCAAACTCCACACAGAAACGCCAACTGAGCCGAGGTTCGAACCAGCGACCTTCTTGCTGTGAGGCGACAGCACTACCTACTGCGCCACTGCCTTGCCTGCATTTCCCCATGTTTAAATTTAATTACTGAATCAAAGGCGAGCTCACCTATATGGTACCCGCCGGTTTGTTTTAGCGCACGCGCGAACTCCAAGAGTGCTCAGGTCCTATTCTCAATCTATAAATAAATCCATGCAAAATTTAAAATAAAGGCCTACACTTGACACAAATTAAACGTTTATCTAAAAAACTGGGCTCAAAAATTTAATACCTCGTCAGAGGACGTCTATTACTTTTTAATACTTTTTAATGGCCTTAATTTTGGCTAATTTTATTTACTATTTACAACCCTATTATATTAACCCTATTAAAACTATTATATTTAGAAATGTGCTGAAGAAATCTGCTCTCCATTAAAGAGAAATTGGAGAAAAAAAATGAACAGGGGGGCTAATAATTCTGACGTCAACTGTGTGTGTATATATATATATATATCAATCTCTCTAATATGATCTATGACAATTTGGACCAATGAGATTTCTCATGAGTAAAATGATTTGTGTACATGCTTATGAAAATCTCTCTCGTGTCTGAGCAAAACACAGCAGCAGACGGGTCGGAAACACCATGTCAAGCTGTAAGCGGTGACAAAAGCAATGTCTGAACTACACGAGACGCATTAAACTGCAAATCGTTTCTCAAACAGTGGAAAACCAGCAGCGTTCGCATGTGCATCTCGCAGCAGAGAAGATCCTGCATATCTTCAGCAATCTGGCAAACATCTCACTTCAAATGGCAGAATTCACAGCCATTGCGTAACCGCACACACTCCTGCTGCTCGCACACTGAATTACGTGATATTAGCGCTCATCAACACTCCACGTTTGGGTTCACCTGGACTCGCTCCGTCAAATGACGCACTTTTCCGTTTAGAGACAATAAACAGGACAGACAGCGAAGCCAAACGCAATAAAAGATCACGGCGACGCAGAACAGATGCAAGCTCACCTTACTGAATACACAAACTCCCGCAGAACACTTCATTTGCTCAGGTTTTCTAAGTAATAACTAGGTAAAAGGTTTAAACAGTATGGTAATCTTTGATATAAACATTACAGTGTTGTGATAACTGCTCTAAAATGTGCTCTTTTTGAATGTCTGGCTAAAAAACAACAACTATTTTCCCTATTGAACATAATATAAGAAGCATTTATAATATTTTGGAGCAGTAAACATGTCAGGCTAAATGATGCAAATAAATCATTGACTTCTGCGGTCTTCATTAGTGTCAAAAGATGTCCTTGCGTCTTTATAAGGCATCTTTGAAGATCTTTCTTTTCTGTGGATATGAAGTAAAGCCTGGTGTGAAGATAAAAGAGAGCGTGCGGATGGTGTTGAACTTACCTTGAGGTCTCTGTAGACGACGAAGCGGTTGTGCATGTGTTCGAGGCCCAGAATGATCTCCGCTGCATAAAAGCGCATGTCCTTCTCGCTGAAGACGCCGTGCTGAGACAGGTGATAGTGGAGGTCTCCACCTGAAGATGATGGAGGACATGTGCAGAGCGTTTAACAACAGGTTTAAGAAGATCAGTGCATTTGATAAATTAAAATGTAAGCCATTCATTTACTTCAGTTTTATGGTTGTTTAAATAAATGTTTAATTCTGTAGTCATGCACAGCATGATATGCGGTAAAATGCTTACACAACCTCTTGTGACCCAAAAAATAATAGGAACAATGACAAAATAATAATAATAACAACAATATAAATCTATATTCAGAGAAATAAAAGTTATGCTATAGAAAGTAAAGGCAAATGTAAACTATTTAAAGACTTAATTAAAGATTTAAAGACTTTGGAAAACTTAATTAAAGGTTGTTGTTGATGTTTTAGAGTTAGTTATTAAAAAATAAATAATTTAATTATATATAAAAAATTATAAAATTAAATAAATAATAAAACTAAATTAAATAAAGGAAAAATTAAATAGACAAAAAGATATATAAAATTTTTTTTTTTTTTACTAATAATACATTTTTTAATTCTTTAAATAATGAATTAAATAAATAATTTTTAATTCAGCAGGATCACTGATTATTTCCATTCAAATCTCTTTTTTTTTTTTTTTTTTACAAAATTTACTGAAACTTGTTAGACATTTGTGTTTGAGAGACATTCAAGAAGAGATGATTGAATAACACGTAACCAAATAATTGACTTTAGTTTTATAGCAGTTTAAAAAAAGTAAAACTAAAGATGCTTTGTTTAGTAAAGCTTAAAAAATATTTAATATTAAACATAATATTATAAATAAATGAAATAATTTAACAAATGAATAAACACATTTCTGAAACAACAATCAGAAACATTTTAAAATTTAAGAGAACAAAAAATTATATCAATCAACAATTAATAACTTCAGTTTTATAGTTGGTTAAAAAAAAAATTAGTTTTTTTTTGTTAAATAATGATTATTAACAAAATAATAAAATTGAAAAAATTAAAAAGGTAAATTTTTTAAAATTATTTATAAATAAAAGTATTAAAATTATTTAAAAGTAAATATTCCGAGTTAAATGTAAACTTAAATAATTTTGAATAAAATAAAAATGAATAATTAAATTAATAAAAAAATATATTTTAAATAAAAAACATTTAAATTAAATATAAAATAAAATAATTTTGAACAAAATCAAAATATATATTAAAATTAAACATAACCAAAATTAATTTAGAGTAAAAAATGATTATTTGAATGAAATAACTTAAATAAATTTTAATTAAAATAAAAATATACAATTAAACGAAATAATGTAAATATTTCAGAATAAAATAATCAAAACATATTTAAATGAAATATAATCTAAATAATTCAGAATAAAATAATAACATTTAAATGAAATATATCTTATAAGAATATTGAATAAATTAAAAAATAAATATTTAAATGAAATAAAACGTAAATTAATTTTGAAATAAATAAAAAAGAATATTTGAATTAAATATAAACTAAATTTATTTTAAATAAAATAAAATAAAAATTAATGAAATAAAATCTAAATAATTTTGAATAACATAAAAAATTTCTATTTAAATTAAACATAACCTAAATAAATTTTAAATAAAATATAAAAATAACATTTAAATATAACCTAAAATAGCTTTGAATAAAATAAAAAATAAATGTTTAAATTAAATATTAAATAAAGTACTTTTGAATAAAAACTTTACATTTCGATTAAAATAAAATCATTTAAAAGGCAATTATGTTCATAAAATAAAATAATTATCCAAAAAAATAAACCCTTATATTAATAAAACCCTGGAATCATCAGGGTTCCTGTTACATTTTCAACTTTCTGTAACTTGCTAAACAGTTGTTTCTAGTTAACATATAATTATGTGCAGAAACCCTTATTCTCACTAGTTACGTTTCAAGCAAAAGTTTTCTAGTCAAGAGTGATGTAGAGATGTCTCTCAAGCAACCACTGTAACTTTGCCCACATCTGAGACTTCTAGGAAAATCTGCATCGTCTAATTTGTAAAAGGCTTATTAGCGTCTTCAGCAGAGTTTAATTCCACTAAATGGGATGTTTCTTTAATCCAGAAGCACATTCAGAGAAGTGGCTCATGCTGTAGAGCAGATACAGGAAGCGTGGGCGTGTCAAAAGAGGAAGCTCCACCCCCTGCATGGACTGACATTAACTTAAAGAGGAAGGTTAAAATAAAAGAGCTAAAAGTGTTTTCACAATCTCCCAGCGGGTGCCGTGCACGTCAATCCGTCAAGATTTCAAGAGTACACGAATAGACTCAGCACATAAATACAGAAATTACTTCAAATTAATGAATCAGTCAATCAAAGTGTATTTATAAAGACACCCAAAGTGCTGTAGAGAAGACTAAAACTCAAACAGGACACGAAATATCATTTAGAAATGCGTATAAACAAACATAAGTAAGCAGAATTAAATCATTATGAGCCAATAGCACAGACTGCTTTTTTATTTTTTAAGTCTTGTTTGTTTTTTTAAGCTCTGCCTTTCGCTATTAAACTCCTGTATTTCCTGGAAAGTGCCCTGTAAATCCCACTGTGTGAGAAATGCATTGGTATGCAAGTCTCATTTCATAACTTCAAGCAGAAATCATGTAAAGCAGGCTACCGGTCACTCCAAATAACACTAAAAGCAGGGCTGCAGACTGACTTAATTGCTGCATTTAAAGACCTTTTCTCCCGAAAGTCCAACTATATATATATATATATATATATATATATATATATATATATATAAATATATTTTTAGCAAGTCACACATTTGTATTAGATCTAAAATGTCACAGAATTATGCCTTTCATAACTAACATCATGGAAATCATTTTATCAATCTAGGTGCAGAGCATAGATATATACACTAGATATCGCATAGGGACCCTGAGCATGCGTCAATAGCGCCGCCATATTGGTACAGTGCTCCCAGGACAAATGTCATTCAACCGCACTAGCCAAGACAGTGTTACTACGTGAAGATGCGGGACTTTAGCGCTGTCTACGTGTGTAGTAACGAGCAAACAAAGAAAACAAAGCACAAAGGCAGAACATTTCATAGGTAAGATTAAGTTTTTTTCTGTTTTTGTATGTTCTGAACTGTTGTGCTAATCAGGTCACGTTATTGATGATAACAGTCACTTACTGCATTCACCATACGGCAAAGCAGCTCCAACTCGCACTAAACACTCGGCTTATGCTAGTTTTGTTGAATAAAATCAGCAAACAATGCAGGAGAAATATGACAACGAGATGCTGCGCTGCCAGAAACTTGTATTATTGTCGGCTAACGTTAGTGAAAGAGTCGTTCGGGGGATTCATTCACAAACAAATCGCTCCCTCCGTCAGTATGAGCAGTGAAAGCAGGAGAGGAGCTGTGTTTCAGGACATGATTAGATCAAATTTAACAGGGAGGGTGAATAGTACATTTCTGTACACACAAACACAAGCTTTTTGTCAGGAATGCCCGTGCGGTCACTGATCCATCAATGTAGAAAAGTGATGGGAAATTATAATTTTCGAAATTAGAAAAAAAAATTACATACTAACATCCAGGAAAACTCCCGATCACAGATATATGTGTATATGTGTATATCTCTGGCATTGGATGGCCACAGTCCTCCACTGTACCTTGGTCCCGCATTCATTTTAAAGGAGCGCTACCCTGTACCAAGATGGCGGCGCTATTGATGCATTCCGTCCAATAGACAACAATAGGCCAGGCGACATCTAGTGTATATATCTATGGGTGCAGAGTCTAAAGTGCAGGGCGCAAAAGCATTTAAGGCAGGCTTGAATTAATAGCAAACAACAAACATTAGAAAACTGAAAATAAAATAAAGGTTTAGCCTATTAAAATGAATTTATTGATCACATTGGTGTTTTTTAACTTTAGTAATACCTCCAATTGAGACAGAGATGTTTTTTGGAGTTCTAGCATTCATGTGTTAACGATATGCTAGCTAGTTTATTTATTTCAAGATCTGAGGTGAACTATCTGCTTCCCCTTTTAAAAAGGTCACATTACATGGTGTTTAAACTCATTTAACACTGAACAAAGCACATAATCAATACATGAGGTGCTCATTGTCATGGTAGTTTATGCTGTTGTTTAGCGGTGACTATCTGTGTGTAAATCAGCAAGTATTTGCAGCATGTTTAAAACCAAAACTCTGATTAAACTGGAAAACATTGCTTTTATTGGATGTTGCATGTGGTTTGGACAGTGTGTTAACACTTCTATGAGTAAGATATGATGTGTGCTCTTACCGTTCATCAGGTCCAGGATGAAGCACAGTTTATCAGGGGTGTGGAAGGCATATGTCATACACACTATGAACGGGCAGTCCTGCAGAGACAGAGTAAAGCAAGTGAGAGTGTGAAACAAAACACGCTGATGAGCAGAGTCCCCTAATAATATTAATACTTTTTAAAGTAATAAGTAATGCAAAACTACTCTGACTGTGTTACTTGGACAGGAAAAAAAGTCAGACACTTACTGGCCACTTTATTAGGTACACCTGTCTAACTGCTCGTTAATGCAAATTTCTAATCAGCCAATCACATGGAAGCAGCCCAATGCATTGAGGGATGTAGACATGATCAAGGTGATCTGCTGCAGTGCAAGCTGAGCATCAGAATGGAGAAGAAAGGAGATTTAAGTTACTTTTGTGGCATGCTTAATGCTGTCAGACAGGCTGGTCTGAGTATTTCAGAAACTGCTGATCTACTGGGATTTTCACACATAACCATCTCTAGGGTTTACAGAGAATAAAGAGGAAATATCCAGTGAGCGGCAGTTCTGTGGGCGCAAATGCCTTGTTGATGAGGCCAGAGGTCAGAGGAGAATGGCCAGACTGGTTCCAGCTGATAGAAACTCAAATAAGCACTCGTTACAATTGAGCTCTGCAGAAGAGCATCTCTGAACACACAACACGTCCAACCTTGAGGCGGATGGGCTACAGCAGCAGAAGAGCACACCGGGTGCCGCTCCTGTCAGCTAAGAACAGGAAACTGAGGCTACAATTCACACAGACTCACCAAAACTGCACAATAGAAGATTGGAGAAACGTTGCTGCTCTGATGAGTCTCCATTTCTGCTGACACATTCGGATGCTCGGCTCACAATTTGGCCTCAACAACATGAAAGCATGGATCATCCTGCCTTGTATCAGCGGTTCAGGCTGGTGGTGGTGGTGTAATGGTGTGGGGGAGATTTTCTTTGGGTCCATTAGTACCAATTGAGCATCAACGCCACAGCCTACCCGAGTATTGTTTATTGATTGTTTAAAATAAATATTTAAATTGAATATAACCTAAGTTAATTTTGAATGAAATAAAAAAATTATATTTAAATTAAATATATCCTAAATAAATGTTAAATAAAATAAAAATTAATATTTAAATTAAATGTAACCTAAAATAACTTTGAATAAAACAAAAAATAAATATTTAAATTAAATATTAAATAAAGTACTTTTGAATAAAAAATAAACATTTCAATTAAAATAAATTCATTTATAAAGCAATCATGTTCATAAAATAAAATAATTAATAAACTAAAAAAAAAAAAACCCTATACTAATAAAAACCTGGAATCATCAGGGTTCCTGTTACACTTTCAATTTCCTGTAACTTGCTAAACAGTTGTTTCTAGTTAACATATAATTATGTGCAGAAACCCTTATTCTCACTAGTTACGTTTCAAGCAACAGTTTTCTAGTCAAGAGTCTGTCTACCTGAGTACCAGCCTACCTGAGTATTGCTGCTGACCATGTCCATCCCTTTATGAGCACAGTGTCTCCATCTTCTGATGGCTACTTCCAGCAGGATAACGCAGCATGTCATAAAGCTCAATCATCTCAGACTGGTTTCTTGAACATGACAATGAGTTCACTGTACTCAAATGGCCTCCACAGTTACCAGAGCTCAATCCAAAAAAGGAGCTTTGGGATGTGGTGGAACGGGACATTGGCATCATGGATGTGCAGCCGACAAATCTGCAGCAACTGTGTGATGCTATCATGTCAAAATATAGCAAAATCTCTGAACAATATTTCCAGTAGCTTCTTGAGACTTTGCTATTAACGATTAATACAGTACTGAAGGCGAGAGGGGTCCAACCCGGTACTAGTTAGGTGTTCCTAATAAAGTGGCCAGTGAGAGTATGTGAATTATTGACACATGAATCATTCTTTTAAGCAAGCTTGCAGTAAACACAACAGTCCATGCTGTTCAAAACATGTACCATGATCAAGGGCGTAGATTTGGTTTGAACATTTTTTTATTTCATTTATCTGCATTTCAATCAGCATTTTATGAGAAGAGTTTTTGCGTGTTATTTTGACCAGTAAATCAGAAAAGTCATTATCTTGAAATCACACCTTTTTTTTTTTAAACAAAGAAGAAAATAGTAAAATATTATATAGCAAAGTGCAGAGCAATAGTTGGACATTTCCATTTTCAAGCAATGGAGGGAAACCTAACAGACAAACTCTCAATAGATTCAACACAGATAAAAAAAAAGTTAATCCATCCATAATATATCGCAAAATTATTGTTATTGCAATAATAGTATATGCAACATACGTATGTGACGTGTGATCAGTGACATTAATCTTATGCTTTGGTTGTTTATCTAAATTTGACCAATCAGATGGGGCCTTACTATCTTAAGCCCGCCTCCCCAGTAGCTGCTGTTCTGCTATTGGCTAGAAGGTGAACCCAGAGCTGAAGATAAACACTAATGGGTGGAGTCGAGACAAGGGGTGAAATTAACCACAGAGTCAGAATATCTGCTGTGGTTTTCACTCATTCATGGTGTATCAAAGACAAAGATGTTTGCACCGTTTTTTTTTTTGTCTGAGACTGAGACAATTACTTGCTTAATTTAATATCAGAACATAAAAAATGATTTTAAAACAGCTAATAAAAATTGTGCTTTTCTAGGTAAATGTTATATTCTAAGAAATTTGGTTATACTCATCAACAATATTGCATTGTCACATATTTTTCCAGCATCGTGCAGCCGTAATACTCATTCTACACATTCTTCAGTGGATATTGGGGCGGTTGACGTTGCATGTTTTGTTTTGTTTTCTTCATTTAACATGCAAACTGATTTGAATCATCACATATTCGACAGGATTTTGACTCTGAATCTTCCGGATATGAAAAATTAAAATGTTTATTTATATAGTGTCACTCACCCCGGTGCTGACCAGCGACAGCATGATTCTCTCATTAAGCGCCAGAGTTTCTCCCTGCTTCATTTTGATACGCTTTTTATCCAGACACTTCATAGCATACCTGAGACACGAGCGTTAATGAGCAGGTGCTTTTAAACAACCTCAAAATGAGCTTATTCAGGGTTTAAATGTCAGGAAAGCACTTACATCTTCCCCGTGTCTGCCTTTCTGCATCCATAAACCTCTCCAAAGCCTCCTCTGCCGATGATGCGGTGCACGCTGAAGTCATTCATTGTCAACTACAAGCAAAATCAGGAGAATATCAGAGAAAACCAGACTTATGGATGTAAACAGAAAGTGTACAAATGAATAAACATGCAAACTCACATGGATGTTGAGCTCTACATTCTTCCACTGGCAGAAACGTGTAAACTTGTCACTACACAGCAAAGCAAAAGACTTTTAGATGATCAAATCGTTCTCAAGAAACAAATTAGTGTGGTGAAACGACTGTATGCATGCAAAATAAAAGTTTTATCTACATGTGTGTACTGTTTACATCTAATATGTGTATATCAGCACACACGTATGTAAATACATGAGGATTTATTTTTACATTTATCTATAAAATATGGATTTAAATGCAACATATCCTATAACTATATATGTAATAATATACTAACTATATAGTTATTATATATATATATATATATATATATACATACATATATATATATATATATATATATATATATATATATATATATATATTTATACACACACACACACACACACACACACATACACTAACTTTAACTATATATGTAAATGTGTTTGCCTGGTATATTTTAAGTATATATGTGTGTATGTGTACATATTATGAAAATATACTTTTATTTTGTATGCAATTAATTTAGGGCTGCACAAAATACCAGCACAACGTATTATCCCGATGATAATATAATGTGTTGGTATTTTGTGCAGCATCCAAAATAAAAGCATATTTTTTAACACACAATACGCACAATATCTGCATTGCAGAAAAATGTTTTGAATAAAACAATTTTATCTGCCAGGTAGTATTATGTTGCTTGCATAATTTGTTTAATCAAATTCGACCAATCAGATGGGGCCATTATCTTTAACCCCGCCTCCCAGTAGGTGCTGTTCTGCTTTATGCAAGACTCGCCCATAGAATTCAGTCATTTATAGTGCTTTAAAGTATTTTTGCCTGAATTTGATTTCATAATAAGTTTAGATTTTTATTTAAATCATTATATAAATAATTTATTGAATTGCTAAAAAAATTATATTATATCACGAGTAATATCGTTATTGCAGTACTCAACAACCAGTAATTGGAATAGCAGAGCTATAAATAAACAGCATTACTAACAGTTTTCAGTAACGAGTAATTAAATGAGTTACTGTTTCTCCTGCTACAACAACGTTACCGACAATAAAAAATGCGCGATACTATAACTGAGAACACTGAAGATGTTTTCATGCGAGTGGCATCTCTTTCAGCCTTTCAGGACCTCTCTTTCTCTGGGGTGCAAGTGTGTGTGTGTGCGTGTGTGTGTGTTCAGGGCTGGGGCAGGACACATAACCAACCAGTGATGATGATGATGATGATGATTATCGTTTGCCAATCAGAGGCAGAGTAGTGTGGCTGTTCACGCACAGTCAGCGGCGCACACACATCAACGACTGAGAGTCAGAACGACGGCAAATGCAAGTTCAAGGCTAGGGTTTGCAAACTGGAAACATAAGCACTCCTTTACTCTCAATGAGGTGAAAGGCAGGAATGTTTATGTATCATACAACTTATGCCCAGGAGAGGAAAAAATAAATAAATAAAAAGAGAGTCTCTCTGCGTTGCTGACGAGTAATTCTACTCTAATGAAGTGCCTCACGTCATCATTCCGCCACTACATCAGTGGCTACGCAGGTAATAACGTGAGCTCTGCTACCACAGGAGGAGATCAAACCCTGACATTAAAGCAAATAAAACTTCCTTCTTCTCCACAGCAAACACTTATTACTCAGACAGAATTAAACAGAATAATATCTAAATATATAGATGAAGACATGCTGCCGTCGTCTCTCACATTATCCCACAATAACATTAAGATACTGTACGACGTGTTTATATTTATTTTACAGTTATTTAAGAAATTAGATTTGTTTAAAGTAAAGTAATAGCTACTTTCCCTGGTAATTAGGTACGTTTATAATTCATATTTATTTATTAAATTTATTAGAAGCCAGTCATGTCACCTTTCAATGAACTTCTGAAAGATATTCCCTCGAAGACTGTCACAGATTTCAACAATATATGGCTGGAAAGAGAGCAAACAAATGCGTCAGGATCTGTTTTCGGTCCAACTAACCAAACACTCGACAACAAAAGCCAACGTGCACTCAGATAAGCAGGTTGGATTTACTGTGGTGTAGGGGGTCTCACCTGAAAGAGATTTGGAGGAACTTGTTTCTTTGCTAGGTGAGTCTGGACATGGTCGACGGCTTTCTTGGAGAAGGGCTGTGAGAAAGGAAGGTGGATTAAGGGACATTTGTGATAAGAGAGGTCAAAACACTAAAACAACATGAACAGTTTCCTCTGGATAAACGTCAGGCATGGACATGAACCTGCTCAGCGTTCATGGCTATCACAACAGAAACACTGTGACAAAGGCGGCAGCGGCCTGGAGTGTCCTGTAGGCCATTGTGTTGGTGCATTCGGGCTTCCTGTTTCTAAAAAACTATGACTGGAGACTGACGGAGGCTAATGGCACTCAACAGAAAACATCTGAATGGAGTCTCTGGATCTCCAGTGCACAATATAAACCATCATCCCTCCAGCATTAGAAAAGCAGAAATGCATCATACTAGGAATTACCATCATAAAGAACTTCAATATCATTATGCTGTGTGTGTGTGTGTGTGTGTGTGTGTGTGTGTGTGTATTATATAGAAAAGTGCTAGAGATGGTGCAAACTGTGGCCTGTTTTTCTTACATGTGAACATGAAAGCAGCTCCTTCATTATGTAGACGTCATAAATCTGTCGACTGCGAGTTAGCCTCTCCTCTTCTGAGTCCAACTTCTCGTACTCTTTAATCTGAAGGGCACAAAACAGGATTAGCGTGATTATCTCAGACACAATCCCACGCTCTTTAAAAGGACACGCCGACTGTGTTATTCTGGCCGAGCAGAACAAAACTGAGCAGGTCAAACACAGACAACCTGGAAACTATCGAGCAGAAAACACACACTCTACTGCCTGCAGTGTTGGATAAGTTACTAATTAATTACATCTTTAAAATTGAATTAAAATTTAGTTTCTAATAAGCAGAAGCGTCGCTAGACCCCATTTACTGGGACACGTGCCCCAGTAAAAATCGCCAGTGCCCCAGTAAATGCTTTGAGATATGATTTACTTTACATTCAAGTGTATTTATTAAGAGTGGTAATCCCAGAATAAAGACGTTACTCTCTATGTGCAAGCGAACCAACGCTAATAAAAGCAATGCAGTTTATTTAAAAAGAAAACCAAGCATGCTCCCGGTCCGGTTGTGAACATGCACACTGAAAAAATAAATGTTGTGAAACCGACGTACAGCTGAGGTGTCTGCACGCACTGAGTTTTGCAAGTCGACCAAACAAAGTTGAAATAATATGATGGTGATCTTCCTTCTGCATTGTTCCTAATAGATTTTTGTGAAGCAGAAAGGAGAGATGATAAGTCAGGGAGGTTACACTTAATACACCTAGTTCTCAGCCATGAGTCAGGGCTAAAGATGTGCGGATCAGCTGAAATGACACCCGAATCAGCGGGTTCATACTAATCATCCACCTGCTCGCACATATAGTTTTTATAGAAATCGCAAATCTACCCATAATTCTCTCTTCATATAGCCGTATGCCATATCCATAAAACACTGTGATATAACCGTGCTCGGATCGGATCGCTTTCTCACTGTAACCGATCCGCACTAGAGTTTGTTTCAATCGAGCCGAGACCACCTCATTCAAGCGATCTCGGAGCGATTAATTTGGCACGGGTCCGAGAGCGATTGGTGGTTTCACATATGCCACAGTAACCGCGCTAACTGGATAAACGAAACACCAAAACACATGTGTTGAGCTGTTGACAGTGGTATATGTCTCCCACACTGCTAAAAACACTATTAGGACACCTATATTTCACTAAAAAGTGTAAATTGGTTGTTTTTGCGTTATTTCAAGCAAATTCGTACTTCTGGTTTGAAACTAATTTTTGAAGCTGCGTCACGGTCATGACATAATAGCGTGTATTCCAGCGTGCAGACTGGACGTCTGTGCCAGAGTGAGTCTTATTACGTCTTACAGTGTGCTGCATTAGTAAAGCTTGGTTCAAACCAATCAGCGCGCTCTATTGTGCAACTTCATTAATATTCATTACTGTCACAGTGTTTAGACGACAGAGACGCCACGTTGTGTTGGCAAAACAAGCGTGAAGTGTTGCTTTTATAGTTTGCTGCAGTTCAGTTTTGTTTTCATTTTCCGGATTCGCTTGTAGTCTCCTCTTAATACAGTTGCAGCTCTAGTTGCTGGTGATTGTCCTGTCTCTACAGATTTGGTAAGTGAGCGAGCAGTGCTCTTTGTTTATTCAGTTCGTATTTTATTCGTATCAAACAAACTATTGCACCGACTGTAAACAATTTAGCACTACAACCAAACTATAACCTCGTGTTGGATTTAGTGACCGGAATAACACACGTGGCTTTCTGACGCTACCTGCCGTGTGCATCTAAGTTTCCGGGAAATGCTGAGGTTTTTTTCTCTCATTCGCCGTGCGGTATCAAACATTGCATGAAAAATACACGCTTAGAGCAGTTCCTCCAATCAAATATCACATTTGTCGCGAGGGACATGACTGAATTCCCTGAATGAAAGAGCCAAACTGCAGTTAAAGTCCACCATTTAATCATTTGGCAAATAATTCGACTACAGATGTCCATGTAAACAGTCACTTTGTCCGCTGTGTGTGTGTGTTTTGACTCTGAAAGTCAGCGTGCCCAAATAGACACTCCCACACCAAGCCTCTTTTCTTCCTCCGACACTCCCCCCTAAACAAAGCTGGACACGCCCACTTTTCTGACTTTTTCCAAAGTAGAGGTGTTAAAAACACCCTGCTGAAACGAGGGGCTTTCATGGCCCTTTAAACTGAGCGGGGTCATGTGACTCTACACATGGTAATCGAAATAAATCAACCCGGAAAAATTTGATCGATTATAGGTTCTGAATGTCGATTACTTATAGATGAATCGTCAGGCCCTAATTTATGCGGAAGGATTTTGAGTGTGTAAGAGCTGAGAACACTTTATTTACATTTTACAACCAAAGACCAATTAGAACCACTCAATTGGTAAACAAAACAACAGCAGGTCTCCAAAACATCCAGAAAATATTCATTTACAAACTGCACTGTACATAAATAATCTAAATATTTGCATATTAATCAATAATACGGAAATTAATATCAAATCTGGAAAAAAAAAAAGCTGTTGTAGCACTAAAATCTGAGAGCGCAGATCCCGTGTGGGCCATCTCATTACATCCAATGGCTATAAAGACTGTTAGAATGCTAGCAAAGCAAAACCAATTTTACCTCCTCGTAAAACTTGAGCTGCGGAACGGCCTCGTCGATCTCGTTCATGCAGAAATCCTTGAAGAGGAGGAAACCTGGAGGAAACAACAAGAGAAGGAAGGAGAATAGAGTTAGATAAGGTGCCAAGCAGAACCACCGAAGGAAAGATCTGACCTTTAAAGCAGGCACAATGCAAGAAAACACATTATATACAGCTGAAGACAGAGTTATCAGCCCACCTGTATATTACTCTGTACACATTTCTAATCATAATAATTTTAATAACTCATCTCTAATAACTGATTTCTTTTGTCTTAGTCAAAAAGACAGCACATAATATTAGACTAGATATTCCTCAAGACACTTCTATACAGTTTAAAGTGATATTTAAAGGTTTAACTAGGTTAATTAGGGTAAAGTTAGGCTAATTAGGCAAGTTATTGTATAACAGTGGTTTGTTGGGATGTAACGATTCACTGTGAACCGGTTGTAAATCAATTCATATATGTGACGATTTAAACCGGTAGCAATGTAGACTGAACTGCAATACATGTTTTGAACAAAGGGGGCGCTGTGTTTACAGGCACAATCTCGCTTTACATGCACATCAGCGGCGAGCAAGTGTGAAGAGGTTTTTCAGACTGAAAGAGAAAGTTGTGCTGTAACAGAAGCAGGTATTAGATTATTTTACCCTCTCCTTTTCAAATGAGTTTATGCATATTTTAATAATTTGTTTATTATTATTCTTATGTTTATGACTATCTCTTCTTAAGTGTATCACACTGACACTTAAACTAATTAATTATACAAGCAATGCTAATTATTCACCTTTACAATCAAGTTCAACTCCTGTCTCTATCCTAGTCGTTTTATAAGCAGTATGTTATGCCTGTGGAGCAGAGGGCCTATTGACCACCTCTGTACACACTGCTCTCTGCTTTAGGAAAGGCTTTACTCTCCACAATAGCCATCTCAGTTCCTAGTGAAAAGGTTTTTTCAGCAGGGGACATTGTATATGTGCAAAAACCTCAGCTTATGCCAGAAAACACAGATATGCTGATAATTCTTTTAAAATATGTGTGTAAAATACAGAGATGTATAGTAACGAAGTAGAACTACTTCACTACTGTACTTAAGTACTAAAAGGCAGTATCTGTACTTTACTGGAGTATTATTTTTTTCTCCTACTTCCACTTTTACTTAAGTACATATTTTCCATGAGTTTAATACTTTTACTCCGATAGATTTTTTATGTGCTGCATCGTTACTCGTTACTAGGGGTGTCAAAATGATTGATATTAGTTCAGTAATAATAGGTCATAACCGGTGATTACGTGATGACGTCATTTATCTCCTATGCGCGATGTCGCAATACTATGGCGAAGGACGGAGGCGCGAGGGCGAGAGAAGGCGGCACAGCACTCCAGCCGCTAGTTTACTGTTAGGGAGAAATGTTGTAAAACTTCACCCCTGCCTATCTCTCGCTCTCTCACTTTGGACATTTGACCCGCTGGAACAGTTTGTAAGGTAACTTTTCCTCTCTTCTTAGCTGTTAAAGCTGTGGATCTAGACATGAGCGTGCCTCATGTGCAATTAAGTTTTCTCCACTGTGTCTATTACCCGTGATAATCGCTTATTTTTCCCGCCATGGGTGAACAGCGCTTATATTTCTAAAGCCCTTTCCATTGAGGATAATAACCAATCATAGACCCGCCTGTCAGCGCTCAAAAAGCAGGCGGGATAATATTGACATGAGTTTATTAGCTGTATATGCTCGTGCTGTCTTTTGTGTATGAGTTTTGTTTGATACATCCAGAAAGAGTGTTTTCTTTGAGCAGGTCAAATTAAGGGCACAGTTCGTATATCTGACTGCTGTATTAAAGGACAAAATTTTTATTACAAAAAACCCTTTAACTGTCACACCAAGACAAAAGCAATAGAATTTTTTTGATTGCATTTTTTAACTCCCAATGTCGCTAGTTAATAAGATCAGTGCATTTTTATTCAACACATCACAATATTTCTAAAATATCAGCCTCTACCAAATGGTTGAGATGTTGGTTTATGGTAAAAGTACCAGAATTAATAAATATACTACAGAAAATATGAACTGTAAGACCAATTTCATTAAAAACATGATAAAAATGAATAACAATTATTACTAAATCATAGCCATAAGCCATAAAATATTTCAGATTTTCATTTAACACAGTAATATGCACGTTTTCCTGTTTTTTTTTTTTTACAATAAAATCAAAATCAAGTGAATTAGTGAAGCAGGATTTAGTTTGCTTGTTTAGTTTAGTTTCACGAGTGCTTCCAGAAGACAGAACTCCTGTTCATTGTGGTATTAACCAATCAAACTTCAAAACTCCCAAAGTGTGAGTGTGTCTGTGTGTGTGTGTGTGAGTGAGAGTGAATAATGTGTGATTAAGAGAAAACAACAGTGTGTGTGTGTGTGTGTGTGTGTGTGTGTGTGTGCGTGTGCGTGTGTGTGTGTGTGTGTGTGTGTGTGTGTAAGAGAGAGTGTAAAAACAATTGCAACCTATGTAATGTCCCCACAATTCACAAAAATGTGTGTGAGAGAGAGCGATAGAGAGAGAACTGTGTGTGTGAGAGTGTATGAATGTGTGAGTGGGGAGAGAGTGGGAGAGAGTGTACATTTAGGTGTGTGCAGGGCTGTGTGTGTGTGTGTGTGTGTGTGTGTGTGTGTGTGTGAGAGAGAGAGAGAGAGCAAGAGAGTATGTATGTGAGTGAACATGCTGAATTATCTCATCAGTGAAGGCATTTTCTGGTAAAAGGGCCTGACGATGTGAGCTCTTGTACCATAGAAACTATTTACAGAGAAAAACAATATCATAAGCCATGTTTCTTTTCGTTCTGCTTAATCAAGTACCCCAAAAAAGATATTTAAAATAAACAAAACAATTAGTGTATTTTGACTGCTTTCTTTAATAACTACATTACACAATACTTGTACTTTTACTTTCAGTACTTGAGTAGTAAATTTTGAAATAAACTACTTGCAATACTTAAGTACAAAAAATGTTGAATACTTTTGTACTTCCACTTAAGTATGGTGCTTAAAGAGCACTTCTACTTCTACTCAAGTCAATTTTTGATAAAGCACTTGTACTTTTACTTAAGTATGGGTCTCTAGTACTTTATACATCTCTGGTAAAATACCAGCAAAGTCACAGTTTCAGGTTGCTTACATTAATGAGTCTTCTTTAGTTTCTATTATTGTAGCTGACGCTGATCGGTCAGCTTGTATTTTTGTTTATTGTTTCGTATTTCATTATTTGAATGTGTATTGGTGTGTGTTTATGTTACAAATTTCTTTGTTTCTGGTTGGCTTGAGTGGGAGGTCACATGATTCTCTCTGATCGATTTAACCTGCGAGAGTTTGCATGGTCACTCAGCATGGTGAGATCTCAACGCAAGCACCTGTTGAATGCCCCTGCTTATTCTACAGCTGGTTATCAGGCCAACACGGTAAACTAAACATTGCTTTGTATATGATTTGTTTATTTTCATGTCCTTTTGATTGTGTTTGTGTGAAACGGTTGGTTTGTTTATTTGTTTATCCTTTAGTTTTCACGGTGTTCATTAAACTAAACGCACGGACATCAGTATTTGGGAGGCGTGGACTGTTTTAATAACCGGCGGGTAGCTACAAATATTCTTTGTTGTTAAAACAGCAATTTAGTAATGTATTATTTTGCAGCATTTAAAAAAAAAATGAAAGGGCTTTTCACTTTAAATTTGTTTCAAATAATTTTGTTTAAAAATCGTGAATCGTATCGAATCGTGAGTCAGGTGAATCGTTACATTCCTAGTGGTTTGCTCTATAGACAATACAAAACAAATATTGCTTAAGGGGGCTAATAATGTTGACCTTAAAATGACTTTAAAACAGTTAAAAGCTGCTTTCATTCTAGCCAAAATAAAACAAATAAGACTTTCTCCAGAAGAACAAATATCATCAGACATCCTGTGAAATTTTCCTGAATCTGTTCAACATTATTCTGGGTATATTTAATAAATTCACATATTATATAAAACAATATGAACAGACGCATTAATGAGGCCTGTTGAAGTTCCTGAAAGGCGTTCATGCCAAAGTAAACTTAAGTATAAAGGAAGGGGAAAACAATAAAGAGACGCTCAAACAACAGCTGAACCACCATGAATAAATAACACGATTTACTTTGAAGGTGGAAGCAGTGTTGGCATAACCGAATCAACATCACGAGCTGAAGAAAGACCACAAGGCAGATACAAGATAACACTATATCTGTAATCATCACAAACTTTCAGTCTGGCAATGAAAGACTTTCCTGAAATATTATTCAATGTATAGTGTATTACATTTTTATTTATAAAACGAGGATGTCGAATGCTTGATTCTGATTGGCTGATGAAGGTTCATTTTAAAGGAGTACAGTTATTTTCCGATAAACGCACAGATAGTAGTTCCGGCAGGTTTTGAGCTCTTTACAGCTCCTTCACACTACACTGTTTATATTAATGATTTCAGTTATTTCACAGCTAGATGCTAATGGTCTAATCTGATTCAATGATCTATGCTAAGCTAAGCTAAAGTTCTCCCATCAGACCTGGTTCTACTTCTGTTGATATTTGATTCTGATTGGCTGATGATGGCTCATTTTTAAGGTGTGCTGTCATTCTCAGATAAATGCAGAGATAAAGTAGTTCCGGCAGGATTTGAGTGCAGTTTACCTCCAGATCTCTACGCTGAATGATTCCAGTTTTTCACAGCTAGATGCTAAGGGTCTAATCGGATTCTATGATCTATGCTAAGCTAAGCTAAAAGTACTTCTGTTGATATTTGATTGGCTGATGAAGGTTTGTTCTATGGTGTATTGTTATTTTGAGATAAATGCACAGCTAAAGTAGTTCTTGTAGGTGTTGAGCGCATTACAGCTCCAGATCAAGATTATTTTGATAATTGATTCTGATTGAAACATCTTATTGTAAAAATGAAAGTGGATTACTTCTAGGATTTTACCTATTGCGGACTATTTTTAGAACGAAACTCCCGCAATTAACAAGGGACCACTGTAATCTTATT